TACAAAACAGACACAAGGCAAATAACGGAAAGGAGATCTCATTTATCTACAAAGTTAATAGCGGGTCTTACCCCGCTTACACCCGGCCAAGGCCGATCAATACAAGGAAAGAGAAAATAAAAAACAAGAAAAAATGCATATCTTTTTACTCGGCGCCATCCGCGCCACCATCTGCACCAGCGTCAGCCTCTAGCGTCGCCGCGTCAAAACCACAGTCGGTACGGGCCTCACGAGCCTTTTGACGCGCTCCCTCGAAAGCAGCTTCGGTCACGATGCCGGCCTCCCACAAATTCTTATATACATCATGTTGGGCCTCGGCAAAGACCCAAAGTTCGCGAGCCTGGCTGGAAGAAGCGGCTTGGTCCCGTAGGCGCTGATTCTCTTCTTCTAAGGCTGTGATCCGGTCCGCCATGACTTGGGCGTCCTGCTCAAAGACACCGATCCGCTCCTCGAGACTCGCTTCTCTAAAGGCTGCAGTAGCCCTCTCCAACGCCCGTTGGGACTCGTGCACGCGGATAGCTTCCGTTAACGCCCCAGCCTTCGACGAGGCATCCCTCACCTGAAGCTTCAATACCGCGACTTCACCCTCCAACGCAGTCACTTTCCCGCCCCATGCCGCAGCGGCCTCCGCTGCCTTAGCCTGGCCCTGGCGCTCACACTCAGCTGCGGCTCTCTTTACCGCCTCGAGCTCCTCATCCTTCCGGCGGAGCTGCTCCTCGAGAGCACTCGTTCTGCCAAGTGTTTGCTGCATCTGAAGCTCCCGCCTCGCCAGTTCCTCGACCAAGGCTCGGCTACGGGGATCATTCCTCAAGCGCACGTGCAACTCTCGGCACTGATCCCGGTTGCGGCGATACTTCTCCAGCGCCGGCAAAAATATTCCCGAGCGGACTTTGGCTCGACGGATGCTCTCCACCTCCAACAAATAAGACTGCAAAGCAAAGACAACGATTAAGATAAAGAACAAACTAAGGCAAGGAAGAAGCGAACCGACGTAATAGTACATACCCTCAAGCCCATCACGGCCACTTTATTCATCAGTCCGATATCCGTAACGTCCCTCAACGATGCATTCTCGGCCTCCGAGCATAGCAGCTCAAACTGCGGCACCAAGCCACTCCCTTGGAGCAATAAGTTCAACTCTGTGGGAACCTCGGCGAAGCGAGAGCGCCCCTCTGCCCGCACCGCTGAATCGGTGAAGCCTTCTTGGAACATACGGACGTCGTCGGGGTCCAAGTCGGATTCGGACTCGCACTCATCTCCTACAGCATCCCCTCCTCCTTCCGCTACCGGCGAGGTAGAACCACCCGCAGTAGCCACCGTAGGAGCGCTTGCCTCACCCACATTAGCAGCCGCTGAGGAACTACCTCCCGTCTCAGCGACTGGAACCACCAATTGAGTCGCCGAAGCGACGGTATCATCACGACCTAAGCCAACCGGGGCAACCCCCATTGTTTGTTTGCCCTCAAGGGCAGGCGCCGCCGCCGCACTCCTCTCCGCATCCGCCGGGGGAGAGTCCAAATTAATTACCACAGGAGGAGCCGGTGTGAACATGACCCTACGCCTTATCAACGACCTCTCCTCCTCCCCATATGATGACGATTCCGCTCTAGGGCGCACGACCCCCGATGGCCCCGCGTCCCGAAGTAGGGTCCGTGCTGGAGAAGGAACCGCTGAAGATTCAACTGATGCCGCCCTCGGTATTGAGCGCAACACCGGCGCTGCAGTAAGCCGAGAAATTGCACCAGGCCGAGGGAAGGCCAACTGAGGGGCCCTAACGCGGCGTGCCCTCCCTGGTCACAGGAAAACAAAGTTGATGAATAGAGTTGAAACGAAGCGAAACAGAAGAAGAAGTCAATTTTTTACCTGCCACAGGCCTACGGCCATGCCTCTCCCAGAAAGACGCCCATGTGCGTATCCCCACCGTATGGGGGAGTACGGCCTCGACCCACTCACGTATCCAAGGCAATGGGGCCGGCGTCGACCTGTCAGCTACAAAAAATGATACGAGTTAACGCTCATGATCGCAAATCATAAAGAGGGGAAGAAAAGGGAATTCAACCACTAAAGAACTTACGTGCATGGTTCCAAGCCTCTGGGAACCCAGTAGCATCCGTCACCAGATGCCTGGTCCTGATATAAAAGAAGTGCTCGAAAGGGCGAGGGTCGACCTCGTCATCCAATCTCATCACCAGGCCTCTCGACCCACGAGGGCACGCCTGAATCATGGTGCCACGGACTCTCTGGGGAGCGTAGAGACTAAGCACATGTTGCAACATGACC